TGAAAAGGGATTTGTGATTTGGGGGTGCCTAACTTGGGGGGTCGGGTGTTCAGCCCTTGTTGAAAATCATCAAGGTGTCACCCAAAATCATGAGTCATTTCTGAAAATCATGGTCTCTGCCACTAAGGGGCTACCACTCCCCCCCATACTGTGTTGCCCCCTAGGAGGTATTTACTCATCCCATCTGAAACATCTGCCTCAGCACATCCCATTCACAGTCATCATCTGAAAACATCTATTTTCCCAGGAGGATTTGCAAGTTCTAACTGTTGGGCCCTTTGCTTTTCAGTGATGGTACAAGTTTTGTTTTCTTACCGCTAACACTCTTTAGTATTTAGTTTTATTGCGTATTTGGGATGTTTGCATAATACAAACAGCGTCCATACAGTACCCTCAGCTTTATACATGAAATTACAGTGAAATAAAAGGCCACCTCCGGCTTCTTCCAAAGCTTCCCCAGGTTTCATAGGGAAGTCTCTGGGCCAGGTGCTCAGCTGGTATAAAACACAACTGAAGCCAGTAAAGCTCTGCTGATTTACACTAGCTGAGAAATGTCCAAACTTCACCTCCTTCCTGGGTGGAGTAATTACTCTGACGCTTAATTCAGGGCTTTAGCATCTGACTCAATAGACGAGCCATGCAATCCTATATAAGGTCTTAAGTCTTCCACGCTTTTCAAGGGAAGTAGAGAAGAGTTAAGATATTTCTTGCCAAATCAGAGAAACTGGAAGAAATCAAAAAATGAAATTTTATCTCAAAAATGCAAAATCAACATAACTTTGGGAAATATAATCTAAAACACTGGCATATGACACGGAGAGAGATAAATGGGAGGAGATGCTCACCACAGATGCTAAGATATAATTGGATAGCTATGTACGTATACGATTTTACAACGTGATATGCTGATCAATATATCCTGCATTATATGAAGCACAAGCACAACTACATAGGTTAGCCTATCTTCCTGTAGCACTGAATTAAATACATTAGCAACACTGCACGCTGTGGTGGGTGCCCCAGTTCAATGAAGGCATAATTACATTGGAGGGGGTCCAGAAAGAGGTGATAAAGATGATTAAGATACTAGTAGAAGCCTGGATATATTCAGACATTCAAAGCTAGTCTTCCCAACACAGCAGAAACCATGCAGTAGTGAACAATCCTTTGGTAGCATTATGGGCTAGATGGCCAAATAGGCCATCCCTAACTTTTAAAATGCTCTGATTGTGGGGGAAAGAATTATTTAGAGTGGCTAATGGAAAAGTGAGATGCAAGCAAATAATTAGGCTGGACACCAGAAAACATTTTCTAACAATAAGGTTAATTAGGCCATTAAATAATACTGGAAGGGAAGTGTAAATATTCCCATCTCTGGAGTTATTCGGGTTAAGCAACACTTGGAAATGCCCTTTAGAACAATCCTATGTTGGCAGCAGTTGGACTATTTGATCTGAGGAGTCTTTTTCATCTCCAAAATGTATAGTGTATAGAATCCTTAAGACAGCTGTTTGTACCACAGACCTCAAGGAGAGTCATTATAGAATTAAGGTTGCCTCTGCAACCTTAATTCAGCCCCTTTGTACATATGCATGATAATACAGTCTTTATTATATTATCACACTATTTTTTCCAGAGGACCCTGTCTCATTCAGTGCACAATATTTTGTTTTCTCCTCATTGTTCACTGTGTGGCCTCATTCCTTATTTACTGCACACTAGTCAAACCCTGCTCCAAATTCAGAATTATTCATTTCCTCACTGACTTTCCTACGGCACTCATCTGGATAGTATTTGAGGGCTTCACAAACATTAATTAATTTAGGTTCACAAAACCCCTGTTGAAGGGTGGTATTATCCCCATCTTACAGATGGGGAACTGATGTACAGAGAAATTAATGTCAAAAGTATCCACTAATTGTGGCATGATTTTTCAGAGCACTTAGCATTATATAACATTTTATCTTTTCAAAGCACAGATCCTATTGACTTCAGTTGCAGCTGTGAATGCTCAGCACTTGTGCATGTCAGACTCCAGGGTCTCAAGTTGAGCACCCAGAACATGATGAAAATACAAATAGTGACCTCCCGTGAAAAGTTTGGTTAAGTGACTTGCCCAGCATCACGTAGTTTGGCAGGGCAGAGATAGAATCCAGTTCTCCGGGGCAGCATTCAACTGCCCTAACCATGAGACTGTCCTTCCTCTTCATGCAGTCCCCTGCCTCATGCACTACACAACTTCCAAGTTCTGCAACAAATAAGGCAAGGGTCCTCAGTATGGAATTTCCTAGCTTTTGAGTGCTTGACTTTGCAACCTTAATGTTCTTTTAACATAGTGTTTTGTTTGTTAATTCCTAGGTTTTTAAAAGAGCAAACTGAACCCCACCCCAGAAATTGCAGCATGTGGCATCATACAGATGCCCACATGGACCATTAGCAGGGTTGGAACCTTTAGATCCACAGCACAGATGTCTGCCAATTGCGCTAACAGAGTTTCTGACAGCAGTGTGAGAAACACACTTTGCCAGTGCATTTCACAGATTTGATGACAGCAGAAAGAATAGTGAGACTCAGGAATCTTGGGTGCCATACCAGGAGGAGAGTGTGTTCCAGAAGTCATCACAAACCCTTCTGTCAGTTCCTCTAAGCTTGACTCCTTCTTTCCCATCCCCTCTAACCTGTCTCTGTCCCAGTCTTGTCTCTTCCCACCCCTTGGCTCCTCGTCCCAGGCCCAGGCCCATTCTCCTTGCCTACCTAGTCTCACCTCAGACCCAGTCTTCCCTTCTAAGGTCCCCATTCAAGTCCCAGTCTTCCTACCCTTCCAGTATCTTTCCTTCCCCACTCCCAGTTTCCTTGCCCAGCCAGTCTAAGTTCCTCCCCACCCCAACTCCTTGTCCAATCCCCACTGGCTCCCAGTCTTAATTTCCCCTCCCCACTCCCCAGTCTTTATCCAGCCAGTCCCTGTTGTCCCCCTCATCTTAGCTCCTGGTCAGATGTGTCTACTCACCTGCACTCGTTCCCAGTCCCAGTTTCCTTGCCCAACCAGTCCCAGTCCCAGTCTCCCCCAAACTTCAAGTCACGGCTTCTTTCTCTTTCCCCACAGTCCCAGTCTCACCAGCCTCCTTGCCCCAATCTATGTCTCCCCTTCCCCCAGTCTAGCTCCTGCCTCCTCTGCATTTGAGTGAGGCGCCTTCCTCCTCCACACTGCCTGGGCTCCAGCAGGGGTGTCATCGAGAGCACAGGAGAGACAGGCTTTCTGCTGTCAGTTCTGATGCCCAACCCCATCCTGGCTGGGAAGTAGTAATTCAAGGGAAAGTCTTTCTAAGCCCTGGGTTGGATCCTGCTCAGTTGCTTTGTGGGAATGGTACATGTGCAGTCTGATGAGCACTAGGAGCTGTATGGGGAGGGAGCATGCTCAGGGAGGATGGAATCTTCAGAGATTTTAGCTGGGTATGTCTATACTTCTGCTGGAGATGTAATTTACAGCTTGGGTAGTCATGAGTGCATTAGCTTTGATCAAGTGCAGAAGTGGAGCCAGCATAGGCAGCAGGAGGGGTTAGCTTCACTGAGTACAATCTGACTTGGATCCTAGGTGCTTACTTGGGTGGCTAGTCCATCCCCCCACCTGTGCCACCATGGCTACACTTCTATTTTTAGCGCACTAGCTCGAGTAAAGCTAGCGTGCATACTTCTATCTGAGCTATACCTCCAGCTCAAGTGATTAAACATACCCTAACAAGTCTCTACTGGGCATGTCTGAACTGAGAGTTTTTTGAATACTTAAACTTGACCAAATTTGGGCAGATTTCCAGGGAAACAGAAACAGACAAATCTCTGACACAAAGGCCTCGCCCCTGACAAATTTCGAGTCCCCACTCCAAAGCCTGGTGTTCTAGAGCTTCCCAAAGTAAAGGTTGCAGAATTTTTTTTTTTAACATTGCAAAACGAAGTACTTCCCCCTAGCTTTATCCTTGGAAATGGCTGCACCATTGTGTCTAACACATTCAGCCTGAGGCAGACACCAGGTATGGAAAAATTCAGTCCAATAGTCTGGTAAAAAGGTAAAAGCCACTGAAAACAGAGTCTTACAATGGAAGTGTTAATAATAATAGGTGGTGTTACAATCTCTTCCTATAACATATGTCAAAGATTGCCGCCCTTGTGGTTGAGCTCAAACCTTCTGCCCCAGATTATTTTATCATGAGGGATGAATATACTTAGAAACAAGATTAAACACAAATGTTCTTTAGTGGCATCTAAAATGATATGAATGTTTTTAGAACCGCCATAAACACACTTCATGATGCAAATTACTACACCCTGAAGCCTTTATATAAAGATAAGGGGTCAGATTCTCAGCTCAGTTACACCAATGTAAATAACTCTACCCTCCACTGGCTTTGGAGATGATGAGGAGTTATTGATTACTGGATTTACACTAGTGTAATGGAGATCAGAATCCAGCAAGATTTTCACTATGCATCTGGTCTTACTTCCATAATTGCCTCTCAGTTACCAGCAGGAGCAATCTCTGAAGGCACCATAGGAAGAAAAAGAAAAGGCAAGAAAAAGAAAAAAGAAAAAAAAAAGAGGGAACAAATTCAGTTTGTCTTTTTTTCTAGCATGAGAGGACTTGGCTCATGTTCTGGATTCTTTCTGAAAAGTTAAATCTCACTGAGTTCCTCATGCAACTAGAGTTTTCTTGTGCCTGCTGGGTGTTGTAAGACTGCAACATGGGCCCTAACCCTGCAGTGAGCTTGGCAGAGCAGACCTATGTGCCCGCATGGAACAACTTGCAAAATCCAGGCTTTAATTAGCTGCTTAAACACACTTTTTTAATTAAAAAATTCTACTAAAAAAAACCCCAAAACCCTCCACACTTTCCATGTGCAAGTTGGTTGGTTTTGGAGGTGATAAACAGATACGGGATCACCATTCTGAGGCTCTCCTTCCAGTCTACTCTTACTGCAGAATCTGAATGGAATGTAATCTACTCTTACCGGGACTTGTGAGCGCTCCCAGCGCACCAGTCGTTGTGGAGAGAGGATTTGCATTGGTGGTGGTAGCTGAGGTTTGGGCGGCGGCTGCTGCGGCTGCTAAAGTTGCCAAATTCTGTAACTGTAAAGCATTCATGCCTGTGCAGAGAACAAAATGCAGCTTCAGCAACAGAGTTAATTAAGAGATTTCCAGTTTAAAAGTTGTATTCATTTTAAAGGAATATAAGACTGGTAAAGGTTGCCAGATTGACAGTCCTACCAGTGATTTAAACCCTCCTTTCATTCCTAGAACAGCTACAGCCTGGGCAGTATAAGCTACCCCCCACTGGCCCCAGCCAATGTGCCTCATATCTGTCTTACAGGTGAGAGGGTGGATGGTTTTGTTGTTACAGCACGGGCTTGCAACTCAGGAAATTTGTGTTTAGTTCCCACCTCCGTCAAAGAGTTGTGGTGTGACAAGTCACTTAATCTCTCTATGTGATAATACTTCTTCCTGACCTCACCGCAGGTGGAGAGAAGGTAAATTAATTATTGCTTGAGAGGTACTCGGATCCTATCAAGTTCAGTCCCCAAGTCCCTTCTTCACTTCTCTACTTAGACTACCGCACAATAACAGCCAATTGTGAGAGCAATTTTTGCCTGAAATTCCTTCTGTCTATTTGGAACTGAATCGAGACCATCAAATTCAGCACGGAACAGCTATCAGACAGTAATGATTTCCAGTCACAATCATTTGGGGCCAGATTTGAACTGGGGACCTCTAGGCAGAATGTTCTGTATCATGTAAGCCATCCAGATTCTCAAAACCACTTGTTAGTTAGTTTATTCAGTACGTTACGAGATGTAGTGAAGGATACATCTACATTTCAGAATGATGTAAAGACCTTCAAGAGAGGGGTAAATTTAAAAAGCATTGCATATTTAGATAAATATGAAATGGAACATCTATTGCAGACAAAGACTAAACAACACTCATACAAAATGGAAGAAGAATGATTAAAGAACAACAATGTGACAAAGAACCTGAAATCTCAATGGGATGCAGCTGCTCAAAGACGAAAATGGTGTACAGAGTGTGTATATATATGGGCATCACAGCTATATACATAGGCATAATTTGTAGGACAAAGAAAGAAATAACGCCTCTTTCCCCCGCCTTGGTTTGGCCACATGTGGGTGTTCTGCATATGCCGTATGAAAAGGACATTGATAAATTAGAGGAAATCCAGAGAAGAATGTCAAAGTAATTAAGCTATGACCATATGAACAGGAGAACTTAATATGAACTTGGAGAAAATGAGAAGAGGGGATATCATAACACTCTACAAGTATTTGAGAGCTAATAAAATAAAAGAGCAGAAGGGATATTTTACAGAGACTGAGAGCACATGGCATAATAAAGAGCAGCAATAGCTTGAAACGAACGCAGGACAGAATTAGGTTAGACATTAGAATGTCTACAAGCAGACTTGTAGAACTGCTCAGCACTCAGAAGTTTCCATTTATCTACCGTGAGAGCCTCTAAATGCTGAGAACTTCTGAAAATCTGGATACTGTATTGAGGTGTCTAATTGAGAATGGAGCTCTTCTGAAAATCGGCCCCAGTTGTGGGTGTCAAGCACTTTTCAATAATGACTCTACCAAAAAAAAAAAAAGAAAGAAGTAGGTGATGGATGATCTTACTAGTAATGTGGCTGAAGAACCATTACTTAGAGGAATCTGGGACCAACATCACATACTTTGAGGGACTAACAGAGGAAAACCTCTCTCATGAGTTCTCATAGAATTTAAGAACTATATAAACCATAAGGTTTTTCTCAATGCCTATCACCTATAATAGTTTACAAGGCACAATACAACATATAACTACTCTAATTACAAGGTACTAATAACCAAGGTAATTAGGTGTAACTACTGTATCCTGTAATCACAGGTCGTCACTGAGTTTGCTCAGCTTTTTAAGCTAGAGGTTTATCATGATTATACATAGCACTCATCACGTTCAAAGTGCTTTAGAAAAATACTTTAAAAACTCTGTAGTTTAATTACATGGAAACTTTATAATTACCAAAGAATTAGGGACGGGCAAACCTGTCTGAAAAAAATAAACAGCCTGAAACACAGCTCTCATCTTCAACCAAGTCTTCTTTCGAAACATGAAAGAATTTGGTGAACTTTTTGAAAAGGTTGAGCCTTGAACGTCTTCGTTTCAGATGGGATAGGACAAGGAAATACTAAAGTATACCAAGACGGGCTTTCCTTGTAGTGTTTCCTCAGAGGCTAAAACTAGGGAATAATGGAAACTTCTTATGAGAGACGGCTCTTGTGAGCTTTCCAACCCAAAGTGGTTTGGCTAGGTACTTTTGAATGCATAGGTTTGATTAAGTGCGGATGCTTGGGGAAGCTTCACATTTTTTTATGCTGATCCATGCCTTTAGGAGCTTGTCCATCACTAAATAATCTGAAATTTTTATGTATATGCTTTTAGGACATTATCCATAGCTGAATACTTGCTCATCAATTGCGGCAATGATAGTGAAGGGATGAATTGGGAGGTATGTTGTCCCTGCTGGAGGCAGGCGCAAGTCCTCTTGGAGAGCAGAGTCACTGCTTATAGTTTTTTACAGCCTGCAACAAACAAGTTGTGCTGTCTGGTATGGAGAAGGAAGTTAGCTATGGTCCCTCCCCATCCTCTACAGTTTCTGATATTAGAGGCCCCCATCTCCTAGCTCTCAGGAAGCACAAGGGTAAAGATTGTGCCTGGCCCTTATGCAGGGGCACAAAAGTAGGGGAGGAAAGAGAGAGAGAAACTTCTAGAATCCTCTTGCTCACACACTTGTGAACTCATATAGGCCACCCACAATCTGCCACTACATGAGGCTGGGTGTGTAAAGTACTTTCTACAATTCTGATTTACACAGAAAGTCTCCAGAGTAGTTCAGCCAGTGGATCACCAAATTTAGAGACAGAGGAGACCTATTAGTTTACTGACTCCATCTCTTTGCAAGGGCGGGAAACATTTTGAAGGATGGGATGTGGGCTCAGGTTTCATTCTGGATTGCTCTTTGGCCCCAATGTGCCCTTCATAAAGTTTCAGGTCCACTAGAAGTCTACACAGCTCAATACCAAGACTCCAGCAAACAATGCAAATCTTCATGGAGGCCACCGTTAATGCCATTCTGTGGTCTGGCTGGTAGAAATACGCAATAAAGCAGCCTCTCTCTCCACTGGACTGGCTGCCGATCAGAAGGAGGTTGCAGTTGAATTATATTTTCTGTGTGGTGATGCTTCCTCGTGGTACTTTTAAACAGTTCACAATTTAGACTGGCAAATAGCGGTGAACAAAGATGCACACAGCAATGCTGAAAAGAATTTTTGGAGATAGCTTCTGACTGGTGGAATCCCACCAATTTCTGCAACATGCACGCAGATTTCTCTGAAACTCGTTTTGTAAGCAAAAAGAATCGGAAACAATTAGCTATTGCTTTCTATTTCGTGGCCAATGAAGAACTACATGGGTGCAAGGCTATGGGAGCTGAGAGACAGCATGTATGCAGTGCTCGAGGGAAACAAAACACAAAGAATTAGAGACAAGGCTAATCGGCAATACCAAAAGCAACAGCTCGCCTTAGCCTGGGGAGCCAGTCTAGCACCCAGGTGGAGGCAAAATGAATGCCCACCTCTCCATCTCACAAAACCTTTTTATAGCACAAAGAAGCAGGTAGACTAGCTTCCTGTGGAAGCAAAGGGAGATCTCCTCCACTAACAGAAGATTTTTCAAACCCAAAAGAATGTTAAGAAGCAAGAAACATACATCAAAGAAGTCCTCTCCCCACCCTGCATGTGTCACTGGAAAAGTGACTACAACACACTGGCCACAAACCAGCTCTTCAGATGTTATGTGGTGTCAGCTATGGGGCCTCCAGAAAAGATCTGTTTCTTGTTGTCATAATGCATCAGAGAAGAAAACCAAAGAATCGAACCGAGTGGAACTCAAGAGTGTGAAAATGTTAATAACAGGCTGAGAACACACCCAGTGCCCAGGGTGCTGTAGAACTGATGAAATCAACAGGCGTATCTCCTCACTCCCATCCCAAAGGCTGACCGCTAAAATACACAAATAATCTATCCTCATCGTTACTATATTCCACATCCTTCAGATGTTTTATCATTGCTGCTGCTCCCTGTTTATTGGCTTTTTCCTTTATGTGAAATATGTCGACATCACAGCTTGCTAGTACAAACTCAGAAAAGGGAACCAAGTACTGTTGATCCTCAAATCCGACAGCCGATTTGGTTACACGGTAGAAGATGATTCCGGTTCAATTAATCTGTAGCCAATGTATAGATTTGGGGATTATTCTGCTGCCTGGCACATTCTATCCTTTCACATGGTCTCCGTTCCTGCAGTCGACGCTTTTCACATCACATAGGTTTTTCAAAACAGCTCCAAACCCCGGACCAAACTTAGACAGAAAGTGATTCAATCCTTTTTATTTGAAACTGCTGCATACTCAGCAACTGTACCTCTCGCTGAAGAAATGCAAACCGCTTAACACTGAAAAACAGCCTCATAGGCATGTAAAAAAAAAAAAAAAAAAGAGTGAAATTCCACCTGCAGGGAGAGAACTCCTGGGTAAGAAAGAACTCTTGATCTTCATGATGGAGAAAATGTTGGGAATTAAAGCAAAATGATTTATAAAGAGCTAGAACCACATTACAATTTGATTCAATTTTTAATAATGTGTATTTACCAATGTGCCATCAGCTTGGCAAATAGTCAGAACTACAAGGAGCACAACTTTCATTTTGTTACTTGGCAAATTAAAAAAAAACAATTAAATTATGTACAAAACAGATGCACAATATGCCTGCTTGAAACTTAAGATTTTTAAAAAAAATTATTTATAAGGATAGGGGCATGAAAATTTAATTTAATGTTCACCTTAGGTAATTTCGTGTCTTATTGTTCATGGCAATTACCATAAATCTACATATCAATAAGCAAGAACAGATGTCAGTTGTTACAAGTGCTTGCCAATCAGGCCTGTTAAAAAGTGACAGATGGATGGTTATGGAACATTCTCATAAGGCCTATTAGCACATTCGCAGGAAATTTTTGTAGTGCTGAACAGACA